CTTCTAAAAAAATCCCATTGGAATTTTAGTTACCATTGCAAATAAAGGGATAGATATATTTATCTAGAAGCATATTTCTCAATGTATTCAAATCTTTTTGCTTTCAATTTTTCTCCTTGAATAGGATCTTTTTAAAAAATTATATTTGTTCCTGGATTTCAGCACCAAAAAAATTATATTTCCTATAGGTTATTGCTGGATCACTGGAAAAATTCTTGAATTTTAATCATTATTTTATCGTAGCTTTTCAATCAGATCTCAAGTTTTCTAAGCAAAAGTACTGTCTGCAAATAAAGGCAGTTTTTCTACTGCTTTGCAGTATTTTACTTATTATTTCTGTTTCTTGTCTTATTACAGATTTATTTCAGCATAATTTTAAATAATAGTGGTGGTAGCAGGCATCTTTAAAAAAAATTTTTTTTGTAGAGTTGGGATCTTGCTATTTTGCCCAGGCTGATCTTGAACTCCTGGGCTCAAGTGATTGCTTGAGCCTCCCAAAGTGCTAGGATTACAGGTATAAACAACTGTGCCCAGCCAAGCAGGCATCTTAATACCCAATTTTAATGGGAACGCCTCTATTGTCATATTATTAAGTACGGAAATTTTAAAATATACATAAGTAGATTGAATAATAAACTGTCTTGTGCCCAATCACCTAGCTTCAACAATTATCAACATTTTTGCATACTCTTTTAGTGGGATTATAAATTAATCCAGCCTTTTTGGATACTAATTTGGACACATCTATCCAAACACTTATCTGAAATTCCATTGCTAGGCATTAATCCAACAAGTACACTAGCACCAATATGCAAAGACATTCAAGGATGCTCACTGTAACAGTGTATGTAATTGCATAAAACTAGAAAAGTCTAAATGGTCCCCAATAGTTGAGTGAAAAATTATGGTTCACTCATATAATTGTACTCAACTGTTATGAAAAATTTTGGTAGATCTATGTGTTGATGTGGGAAGATGTCCAAGGCTCTTTACAAAATAAAAAAGCAAGGACTATTCATATACTTTTATGTGCATGGAAATTTCTGATAGGATATGTAAGAAACTGTTAATAAAATGTACCTCTTGGGTGGGAGAATGAGGAGTGGTGCTGAAAGGTTGAGAAATTAACTTTGCACCTTCTCTCCTTCCCTTACAGCTTGACCATTAGCGTGATTATTTTTATAAATTTTATTAATGAGTTATTGGTTTAACATTGACTAAGATTTTTAAAAAATGTGTTAATCAGGAGTAGGTCTTAGATTTTTATCATTTATGGAGATAAGGTTATTTTTATATGGTCTAAATGTATGATTTCTTATAGCAACCATTTCTCTAGTACTGAAATATCCTGCCATTTCTGGGATAAAATCTATCCAATTATGTTAAAAATGATTTACTGTATTGAATTTAATTTGCTGGTATTTTGGGGGAAATTCTGGCATAAGGTTTCTTATGTGAGCTTATATTTTTTGTGGGCTTTGTACCATTTTTAATAGGTTTTATAATAAAATTATGTTTAATAAAAATTAATAAATTTTAATATCTTTAAACACTGAGGAAATTATATGTCCTTCAAAATTTCCAAGAATTTGCCCATAAAATCTCTAGGCCAAAAACCTTTTTTGATTTCTTCCCTGGCTTTGCTCTACTTAGTTTTTTCTACTTCTTCTTGATTCAATATGGGTGATTTATGTTTTTCCAGAAAAAAATGTATTAGCACATAGCTAACTTCCCATAGCAGTCTCATATAATTTTAAAAAGTCTCCATATCTGTTATGTCTCCTTTCTCCTTTATAATTTTATTTACATTTTCTTATTTTCCTTTTTATTAAATAGATGTATCAGGGATTTCTCCATTTTCTTGATCTTTTTTCCAAAGAATTACCTTTGGGATTGATAATACTGTTTATTTTCTAATTCATTAGCTTCTGCTTCAATCTTTCCTTAATCCTCCGCTTCTTGAAGTTTAATTTTTTTAAAATATTACTCGGTTCACTTATTTTTATTCTTTCTAGTTCAATTTTTCCTTGCTAACCAATGTTATTACTAAGCTTGGTGTGGTTTCAAATGACTTTTGGGTATTTCTAAAAATCTGCTCTCAGACGAGGAAGATTTGCTGTCACTGATGATGTCATTTAAAAGAATGTGACTCAGACTCCTGTGGCAAATTTCTAAAGAATTCTGAAAATGTTTGAGTAATGGCAATACAATGGCAGCAAGCTTATGACCTATTCTGAAGAGGCCAATATCTATTTGTATCCATAAAACCTGCACATTTGCTGAACATGATCTGCCCTCATATTTGGAAAGGATCAAGTGCTAGGATTGAGAAGCTCTCACATTCGCTTATCGGGATGTCCTCTTATACTGAATGTCTATAGCTCAAGATATTCTTAAGTGTTTTTTCTTCTTGTGAAAATGTATTTATTTTTATCTTATTATTTTTTTAGAGACAGGGTCTCACTCTGTTGCCTAGGCTGGGGTGTAGTGGTGCGATCACAGCTCAGTCAGCCTCAAACTCCTGGATTCAACTGATCAGCCTCCTGAGTAGCAGGGATTATAGGCACGCACCACCATGCCCAAATTTTTTGTAGAGACAAGGATCTCACCATGTTATCCAGGCTCAAACTCCTGGCTCAAGTGATCCTTCCCCGTTCTGCCTCCCAAAGTGCTGGGATTAGAGGCATGAGCGACCACACCAGCCTGTGAAAATGTATTGAAACATCATGTGTACAGCTTGGCTTCATTTTTGCTTCCTATTGAAATTAACCTCAGGTGAAATATTTTGCAAATGCAAAAGATTAAAAATTGTTCACATGGTAGGATAACAAAGTTTTCCCTGAAAAAATCAATTCACTATGATGATGTGGATCAAGGCAGAATGTTTTTGAAAATAATTTTTAAGTGCTCTGGTAGGCCAGAATTATAAGCAATAAAAATAATCTCTAATTAAAAACATTGTGGCAATAAAAAGGTAGATTTGTAGGCGTGACCTTTGCCAAGGTACGGTAGTAGAAATCATCAGATCCATGTGCTTGTAGATTATGTAACAGTTTTTAAGTAGTCAGGAAAGGGAGGATTTTGTGGTCAGAAAAGTAGAAACATCCTATTTAACATATGACCCCGGCCTGTCCCATCTCAAATTACCGTTGATCAAGTTACAGATGGATGGTTGGCAAGCCAGGTGGAATCCTAGAGTAAGGCCTGACAAACCTGCAATAAACAGGAGGCCACAAAGCTGATGGCTGTTAGCATTAAAAACACTAATTTACTGAAGTCTTCAATATTCAAAATAACGCAAGAAAAATTGTTTTGCAAAGCATTGCGAGCCAAAAGAAGTCACTTAAAAAGACTTTAACATATCCTCCCCTGATGACTTTAGGAAAGCTAGAACATGGCTTTGTAAATGAACCAAACTAGACCCCCAGACTAACAGCTTTATAATGATTGAAGGCGTTTTTTTGTTTTGCACCCGCATGCATCTCAAGTTTTTCAAGCTTCCAAATGTTTAAAACATGTAAGTGCCTACGCTCTATGAATTTACTCTTGAGAATAAATACCAGTAAATGGAAGCTCAAACTTTTATCTCTGCTAAGTTCAAATAGGGACACACCTATAAAAATTTATGTATTCAGCATTGGCCTCATTGGTTGATTTTAAAGGAGCACTTTAATGGGGCAGCAAACTGGAGCCAAACCAGAGAAAAAATAATCCTAATTTTGTTTGTTATTGTGGTTTTGAAGTTATCAGAAAAGCACAGACCTAAAGCCCAGAGGCTGCTAAAGGATCCCCTAGAAAGCAGAGCCTGAGGCAGCGTTTAAGTGCTAAGATTTTATTAGGAGGTGCAATTGCAGGGCAGCAAGGGTGAGGAGAAAGGCAAAGGAAAGCAAATACAAGGTGGTGCGTTATTGAGCTGAAAACAATTCCACCTGAAAGGACAGCTTCCAGAAAAGCCACGCAGAACCAGCACTCCTTGGGACTGTCAATGAAAGGAAGGGAGAGGAGATATGCTGGTTATTTCTTGCTTTCTTCTCCGTTTGGCGAAAGTTTGCCTCGTGTGGCTCTAAGTTGCTGGGAAAACAAGAGTTCTGAACCTCTCAGTCTGAGCCAGAGCATGCCACCATCAGAGCCTGTGTGTCACGGAGGCAGTGCTGAAAGCCCCTCACCAGGAGGCGGCGGTGGGGACAGGAAGCCACAGCAGGGAGGCCAGCCTACCCCAGCAAGAGGCTAAGGTGGCGGTGGGGGCAGGTGATGGGACCCTGTAAATCTGGGGAGGCACATAAACTGGGGTCTGGTGCAGACTATCCCTTTTGGACCCCAGCTGTTCCTAGTGCAGGTATTCAATGGTTCTCAGACGACAAAAAGCCACTCGATTCAGAGATAGCACGGATTTAGCTCTGATTTTGTAAACTGCAAATTTTTTCCACCAACCTGTCCTTTATTCCTCAACGACCGTTAACCACTACCTCGTTTAACTTTTTTGCTCCAACTTTTCAGGAAATTGTTTTTTATAATTTGAATGTAATAAACTTTACCCACTTCAAACCCACAGTTTGATGAATTTTGGCAACTGTGTCACGTAACCACTGCTCCTATCAAGAGACGGAACTGTCCCGTCACTCTGGAAAAGCTCCCTCCTCCGTTCCTGTGCACTCCATTCTGTCCCTGTCCCACCCGCTTCCCAGGCAACCTCTATCACGTTTGCCACTTCTAGAATTTCCTATCAAGGAATCGGAACACGGGCTTTTGGGTTTTCCCCTCCACAGCGTCATGTTTTTCAGGCCTATCCACATTGTTTCGGGTATTCACGCTGGGTTAACACTCGCCATATGCTGAAGAACTGAGAGTCCTCACAACCACCTTGTTTCACAGTGGAGGAAACTGAGGCGCGCCCGGGCCGTGACAGTGGGAGGGAGCACGGGGCAGACTCCCGCCAGTCAGGCGGCCCGGCTGCCGCGCCCGGCAAGGTCGGAGCCCGACCTGTTGGCACCTGCTGCCAGGCTTGAGGGGACGGATGGGGCCTGGAGACGTGGCGAAGCACAGGCTCGGGCAAATACGGCCCAGGAAGCGGCGTGTCGCACGCTCCAAGCCCAGGCCCGGGTTGAGGGCTCAGCGAGCGTGAGGCTGAGGTGCCCGAGAGGCCATACCCGCGGCGGCCCCGGCACATTTGAGAGGCCCGCAGCGGTACTCCCAGGTGCGGAAGCGCGACCACCGCACCGCTCCGAGACCGACACGGAGCTCCAACCCAATTGGCTGGCGTTTGCGCGGGGCGCTTCACCGCGCGGCTATAAAGGCGCGCGGGGCCGCACCACCCCGGCCATTTCCCTCCGCGCGCGGACGGCGCTACTTCCCGCCCGCCCAGGCGTCGGCGAGGAAGCTTCGCGGCCGTCTCCCTGCTCTCTTAAGAGAAGACGGCGAGGAGATGGGCTCTCCCCGCCGTCGCGGTGGGAACGAGCGAGAACAGTGGCGCGGCTCGTTCTCTCCCCGCACGTCCTCCTCGTCACAATAGTACCTGAGACTTCGCTGTGAGGGCGCCGGGGAAACAAAGCTGACGGTGGCTCCCCGCTTTGCCCGCCGCTGTTGTCGGGCTGCTTGAGTTTTTTTTGCTCCTGCTGAACCGAACGTGGTTATCTGGAGGCCGCAGAGGGGCTTCTGAGGCGGCTTTCTCTGAGGAAAGCGGGCTGTGGCGAAACGGCCTCGGAATGGCGGCCGCCGCCTTCCGCGGGGAGCGCGGGCATTCTCCACAGCGGGGAGAGAAAGGAGGAGCCCGCTTTGTCGTCACCACGATTTCGTGCAGATTGGAGCCTTAGCGTTAGCGGTAGCAGAGAGCTCCCCTCTGCCGCCACGGACTCCATCGTCTCCTTTAGGGTCGCATTCCTTCGACTTTTTTGCTAGTCTGAAATTCCGTGTGGAAACAAGTTCTTTGGGCCTTTCCTACCCTATCTTTTCTCTTTCTTCTCTCAGAAAGAATTGAGCGGGAAGGCTGAGGGGTGGGCCGCCCTCGCAGGGTGCTGGTTCCGCGGACGCCTCCGCGGCCGCCTCGGGCACAGGCCCTGACAGAAACCCGGGGAGGCGCGGAGAGAGCGGGCGGGAGGGCAGGGCCTTGGGGATCCCTCAATAATGCGGATTTTACGAACAGCCAGTGAAAATACCCGGTTAGAGAAGGCGGGGAGGAAACTGAACCTGAGAAAAAGGGGCTTTGAGTAGCAGAGAAGGCAGCTGTCGTGTGAGCACGACCTGAAATGACAAAAAAAAAAAAAACGAGTATTTTGATAGCCCTGAAGTAAAGTTTGGGTTTAGAGCTTCTTGTTACTGCCTGTCTCCTGTCCTCTTCTTTCATTTCCCTTCGTAGCATTTGTAACCTCACGTGTTACAAATTTTCTGTTTATTGGCTTCTCTTCCCTCTTGAGGAAAAACGTAGGAGAGCAGGGAGTTATTTGTTCACTCTTGTTCCCTCGAGCCCAGCACTTTCTTTAAAGGCATTGTAAGGCGAGCACGAAACCAACTTAGCCCACGATACGAGGAAAAGTTGGCTCTTTGAAGGTCTTTTCTACTCTTTGAGGTCTTTTCATTTTGAGGCAATAATCCACAAGGAATAGCCAAGAAGTAGTCGCTCCACCATTCCATATTCCAAAAGGAGAGATGAAAAAAGTGATCTCACTTCTAAAACGCTTTCCACTTTATTCTGGGGATTCTCTGAGGGGAACTCAACTAAAATCTATAAGGAAAATGAAACCTTTTCTTACTGTTCCTCTGCGACCCTCGGGCGCATTCTCACCCCCAGCTGCCCCGGCTCCCAGGGTCCTTCCACCCTTTCGCTGCTACCTCGTTTTTATTTTTCCTCTTTCATTTGCTAACACTTCTTTACTGCCTGGCTCCTTTCCCTCACTGCTTTTTTTCACAACTCGTTTTTATTTTCTGTCCCTCAACTCATCCAAAATAGGAATATACCAAATAAAAAATAGATAAATTCTTAAAATCAGGTTCTTTTAAGAAGCTTTTTGCCAGAAGGCATTTCTCAAATTATCTTTTTATGGCTAATTTTTTAAAAGCCTAAAAAGGTCTTGCCGTTGTATAAGTGAAAGTAATTACTGTCTAATCAGCTTTTACACTTCCGTGAGAATGTTTCTTTCACAAGGTTTTGCCTGACCGTAGTCAATTTTATAGCATACAGTAAAATATGTGGAGAATAGCAAACAAATTTAAAAAGAGTTGTCTCTTTGCAGGATTTCTTTAAGGAGTAAACGATTTTAGCTTAGAAGCTTGGAATATAAATAGACAACAGGTTCTAGGGCACAACATTGTTCCAGAAGGCATTTTCAAGCCTAACTTCTCTCAGTTGTATGTCTGTCTGCTACCAGTTTTCTCCAGACTTTCTCCCTTTCATTCACTCTCCTAAATGTTCCCAGAAGGTTTTTGACTTAACTGTAATTCTTCCCCTTCCCCGTTTCACATCTTGAATGTATTTTTTCAAACTTAAATGTTCTTCAGAACTATCCCTGCTTGCCTGCTCATTCTCTTCAGCCTAAACCGAGGAAGCAAGCTGACCCTCCTTCCCTTCCCCTAAATTGCTCAAGCCTGGGGTCGGAGCTGGAATACCCAACAGGCTAGTGGTTCTCAGTACTGATTGTCATACTGGAATCACCTGCGAGGCTTTTAAGAAAGTCCCTGGGCGTGGTGGCGTGCACCTGTAGTCCCAGCTACTCTGGAAACTGGGGTGGGAGGATTGCTTGAGCCCAGGAGTTCAAAGTTGCAGTGAGCTATCAGTCGGACCAGTGCACTCCAGCCTGGGTGACTGAGACCCTGTCTCTTAAAAATAATAGTTTCCTGGCCTACCCTTGACCAATTAAATTAGAATCTACGGAGTTAGAGTCCCAGCACTGGTATCTTTATAAAGCTTCCCAGGTGATTCTAATTAACAGCCAGTTTGAGAAACTGCAATGGGCGGCTCAAGTATCTAAGGTGGTGATTCTCAAACTTCAGTGTTTCAGAGTAACCTGAAGGGCTTGTTAAAATTTAAGACAGATTGCTGCCCCCTGAGTTTCCAATTCAATAGATTTGAGGTAGAACCTCCAAATTATCATTTCTAATAAGTTCACGGGTGATGCTGATGCTGCTGGTTCAGGGATTGTCTTTTGAGAACTGTTCTAGGACACCAGCAAAAACAAGGACATTGAAAAAATTGGAGAGATTTTATTTGATATTTCAAGTAAAGCTGTGAAGTAATTATGGCGCAAATCAGAAACTTGGGCTTCTTTACCATTATTTTATGGTTTAGTATGATTTTTGATTTAAAATTTCATTTGGGGATAGACATAGGACTACCACAATTTTATTGTTATGGGTAACTCGTAAAAGTCAAGCTTGTTCATTTTTTTCATGTACACAGCAGCCTTCCCCACTCCATGAGACTGTTTCCTTCACCTAGATTTTGCCTGACCATAATGTCTTATAGTAGCCCATGACAAAACATTTGTGGAGAATAGCAAATCAAACACCCTTTCTACCTCTGGACTTTTGTCTGAAGAAGTCAAGAGACCTATCTCTCTTCTCTCTGTGTATCTCTTTCAGATGATGGGTGAATGTGTCTTGCATGTTCTGTGACAGAGAACTTGACACGTGGAGGGCATACAAATATTGCAGAGAACATGTCAGAGTTACAGAAATGCAAAGTACTGTTGCTTTCGAATAACTTTTCCATCTGTTTTTTTAGTTTATGCTCTCTCTACCAGCCCATCAGATAGTTCTATTTTATGTGGAGAAAATCAGGTGCAGGAAGCTTTCAAACTTCTTCAGAACCATACAGCTTGTTAGGTATAAAAGGAGAGTTCTTGGTTCCCAAAGTCTGCCTTCTTTCATCTAGAACATGTTGTAATTGAAATGTAAGGACACTGGATCTGAAGGGAAGAGGAAAATGATTTGATACTTTTTATCCCTGTGAAGGGAAACGTAAGAAAAACACTCTACACTTTTCAAGTCCGTGAAACAGTTATCGTGTAGTTAGAAAGACTTTAGATGCAATTTATGGTACCTAAGGGGAGAATAAAGAGAAATAGAAAAGATTTAAGGTGAAACATCTGGTAGTTAGCTAATACTGCTAGAATCGGAAAGAAATTCTGTTAGACCTTAAAGGAAGACAGGACAAAAGACTCATCGTTTCAATTAACTACTGCTGTGTTACAAACCACCCCAAGATTTAGTGGCTTAAACAAAGAACATTTTATTTGCCCATGATTCTTTGGGTTAGGAATTCAGGCTGGGGTCAGTGAGGATGGCTGTTCACTGCTCTATGCGGTCTTGAATGGGGCACCCCAGCTGGGGCGAGAGGATCCAGGTGGCCTCATCCACATGTCCCGGGCTTGGTGCTTTTGGGTGTGGGGCACCTTGGTTCTCTTCCATGTGGCGTCTTCCTTTCTCCACATGGTCTTGAGTAATTTGGTAGTCTAGCTCAAGCATTTTTACGTGGCAGCTGTCTTCCAAGGGGGTGAAAGGGACCACACAGCATTACTTTCATCATATTCTGTTGATCAAAGCAAGTCGAGCGCCAGCCCGGATTCAAAGAGTTGGGAAATAGATTCCACTCTTGATGGGAGAAAGGTACAGGCACATTGCAAAAGGGATATGGTTAGGCTGAGTGAAAGAAGCCAGACACAAAGAGCACATTCTATATGATTCTATTTATTTGAAACTCTAGAAAAGGCAAACTAATCTATAATGACAGAAAGCAGATCGCTGGTTGCCTGGGGTGAGAGGGTGGGGATTGCCAGCAGAAGGGCATGAGGGAACTTTTTGGCTCTTGATTATGGTGGTATGTATAGCTATGTATTTGTCAAAATATTTTATTGTAATTAGGTAAAATAATAAAGGTAGAACATAGTCACAACAATCCCTCTTGCCTATCTTCAGAAATAATCTACCATACATAAAAACTTAGGTCTGAAGGGACCTTAGAAAATCCTCTGGTCCAGTGTCTTCATTATACAGATAAGGAAAGTGAGGCCCAGGAAGAGAAACTTTTCTGCTAGTTGTGAGAACAAAACCAGGATTAGAACCTAGACTCCTGACCACAGGTTTCCTGTCACTCCTCCCACATCCTTTAACAGTATTAGGGAAAAGGATGCCCTGGGCTTGTGTTCCCTTGAGACTTGCTGGGATGTGAGCATGCCTGGGAATAAGGGATGGACCCACGTGAGCTGTCAATGTCCTTTTGTACTCAGAAGTTTCCAGTGGTCGGTCCAGAAAGTCAAGAGCAGAGGTTTCTGTGCTGTGCTCCTAGTTCTGAGAGACCATGGACAAGTTCCTGTAACTATTCCATGAGTTGGTGTCTATAATAAAGGTGAATGGAACACTGCTTATAAATAGAAAAGAACACTCTGGGGAAAAAAATAAGAGCAACTATGCCACAGCCACCTGTTGTTGACAGTGCTGTCTTAGGTTTCCTAGGAGGGTATTAGTGGGAAAGGACAAGGAGGACATGGGACTATGGAACTGTTGTTATTTACTTAGGTTTTACTAATTTAATAAACCCA